TGGAAGATAAAAAAAGCTAAGAGAATGTTCAGAAAACAGTCAACGAGGAAGAAAGGAGAGAATAAAAGGAGAGTCGCCATCCAGGAGGCCCAACAGCACAATAACTCCCAGAAGGAAAAGACAAAGAAATGATGGAGAAAAATCATCAAAGAAATAATTCAAGGAAAGCAAAAAAAACAACAAACAAACAAACAAAAAAACCCAAAACAGGACTTCCAGACTATGGGCCAATAATGAGCACAATGATCTTTAAAATGATCTTTTCAAATTTTAGGTAGACTTTAGAAATTAAATATATTATTCACTATATCAATTCTAAAGTCTATTAAAATTTATTTTTTAACATATATTTTTATTGATTTTAGAGAGGAAGGAAGAGGGATAGAGAGATAGAAACATCAATGATGAGAGAGAATCATTGATCGGCTGCCTCCTGCATGTCCCCTATTGGGGATCCAGCCCGCAACCCAGGCATGTGCCCTTGCCCAGAATCAAACCTGGGACCCTTCAGTCCGCAGGCCGATGCTCTATCCACTGAGCCAAAGTGGCTCGGGCGTCACCCTGAGACTTTAGAACCCAGGGACAAAGGGAAGATCCCACAAGTTTCCAGAGGGAAGAAGCAGGTCACACACAAAGGATCAGGAGTCAGATGGTTTCCAAGTTTTCATTAGCTACTCTGGAAGTTAAATGCCTTTAAAATTCTAGAGAAAAATGACTCCTCAATTAGAATTCTAACCTAGCCAAACCATCAGTCCAGAGACAACGTTTTTGGACTATCGAGATCTCACAACCTTTACATCTTACGACCCCGCTCTCCGAAAGTCACTGGAGGATGTGCTCCACCAAACAAAGGTGTAAACCAGCAGAGAGGAAGACACGGGATACAGAAAGATCCAGCAGAAAGAGGCCAGAGGACCCCCTCCAAGTGAGGGTAAGGGGACTCCCAGGACAGCTTGGCCAGGTAAGGCCAGCAGCCAGTGCTGGAAAAGTAGGTCCCAAGGCTTCCACAAGACGACGAAACAGATGGAATCCTTGGTCTGTCTAAATATCCCAAAAGAGGAAAGAGACAACTGGCAGAAAGCCTGGAATTAAGTCAGCAGATAAAAAACTACGCAGCCCTGGCCGGTGTGGCTCAGTTGATTGGAGCATCATCCCCTACACCAAAAGGTTGCTGGTTTGATCCCCGTCAGGGCACAGGCCTGGGGTTCGGCCGTGCAGGAGGTAGTTGATTGATGCTCCGTTGTCACACTGATGTTTCTCTTTCTCCCTTTCCTTTCCTCTCTCTCTAAAAATCAATTTAAAAAAACGGTGTTTCTCAGTGGTTAGTGTCAGCCCTGAGCACCAAAGGGTCTCGGGTTGGATTCCCAGTCAAGGGCACATACCTGGATTGCAGGCTCGTTCCCAGCCCTGGTCAGCATGCAGGAGGCACCCAATCGATATGTCTCTCACACTGATGTTTCTCTTTTTCTCTTTGGCCCCCCTTCCCTTGCTCTCTCCCTTCCACTCTATCTAAAAGCAATGGAAAATCCTCAGGTGAGGATTTTTTTTAAATGTAAATGAGCTACAAGTCCTCTTTACACAGTCCCAGTGACTAATCTAACAAAAATTGCAAGAAACTATTTGGGGAGGATAAGAAGCGAAAGAGCTAAAAGAGGCCAAAGAGAGCCAATCATCTTTCCTGATGAGAAGCCAATAATACTGCTCTAAACTGAAAAGTCAAGCAGGAGTACCAGCATAGTTTTTAGAGATATAAGGGTAAATTCCAAAGGGTCAACTGAGTTAAAAGTGACTGTCCCATTAAAAAATATATAAAAAATAAAGAAAGTGACTTCCCTCAGTGAGAAGTGTGGGGGCAAAGGGCTACTATTTTTCCTAATAAGCCATGAAAGTTATAACATATACAAGTTCACTAAAGATGAAAGAAAAGACAATGGATGAGTTTTTCCAGAACAGAGTTTTAAGAGGGAAAGCGAGAGAGCATTAAGTAGAGAGAACAGAATAAAAAACAGTCTAGGGTGAAGGGAATGAGGCACCTACAAGGGAGGAAAAAGTGGGAGAGGTCAAAGTGTAGAAGATGTGGGGCCAGAGGCCATGGCCTGGCTGCCCCCTGAGGAGGTACCTGATCTTGCCTCAGAGAAGCAGAGAACAGTGCAAGCCAACCTTCCTCCTGGAAGGACACCCCCAGAAAAAGAGCAGGTGGTCTCAATGGACCAGAGCATGATGACAAAACCTGGGTAACTCTGACAAAGAGGCAATCTAGTTCTGCTCAGTATGAATGGGCCATGGAAGAAGGGGGGGTGGATGGGAGTAGGGGTAGGGGAGACAGCCAAATGAGCAGTCCTGTAGTTTCTAAGATGACACCTGTGTTAAAATTTTTATGTTCAAAGCCCTCAACAATTTCCACTATAAATCAGTTTATTCTCTGCTTCCCAAGGTCTTTATCCTGTAAGTGTTTAAGGGGGTTGGTGAGTGCTGGGAAGAAAATAAGAGTCCTCTGGCCAGAAGCTCCTTCTCCTAAGGAAAAAGATCTCACAGTTTGTATCATGATGGGCCAATGTACTGCACAGGTAGGTGGGGAAGGATGTGAACCAGCTGGTGCAGCAGACATAGAAAGGCAGG